CTACCTGTTTACAACAGACGGAGACGTTTCGAATTTGTGAGGCGTAGAGCTGAGCATGGATGGGAGTTCATTGAAGCACTATGATTTTGAGTCTACACTATCACCCCGGGGAAAGGCCAATTGTGTTGGCCGCATGCCCGTTCCAGTAGGAAATCCATTTAGGTGATATAGCCTGTATTGCCATCCGGGAATGGCGGATTGTTGGGTGTACCTCGGCGAGTTTTGATTGCGATCCTGGGCGAATCTGTTCGCAGGCTGCGCGCAATTGTTTTCTGGTTGCTGGCGCAGCCCCTACACTTGTCTGCACTCCGAATGTTAGAGGCACAGAAAGCGTGACCCCTGACAGTGAGTCATGTCAGAGAGAAGATCTCCCAGTTAAGGAAAAGTGGAGCAAGGGCTTGTGACCGGTGGTATCCCCAGACCACGAGTGTGAGATACCCGAGACCGCTTTCGTTTGACTGCGGCAGCCCTCTGCCGAGAGGAAGTACTCCCGAGCAGTTTTCCATCATTCACCGCCTTGCGGCCTGCATCCGAGAGCACTAAGATGTATCATGGATTTGGTCGTCCCGCAATTTTGACGGTGGCAGGGTATGGAAGAGAGACTGTGGCAGCTTTCGTGTCTAAGTTGCCTACTTGCCGCAAGTGCAAGGCCGAGCATCAGAGCGCCAGCGGGTTGTGTTGCCCAACCTTGCCTATTAGCCGAGTTGGGAAGCTCGGGAGCCATGTCACTATGGTACCTTCCTTGTAGGGTCTTCCGAGGCACCTCAGCCGGGGCGGTAGGTGTGCTATTTGCGCGTGGTTGTAGACCCGCGTTGGACTAAGGTCGGCACAACCCTCATTTCCATGCGCCGTGAGAGATTCGGATAGATCGTCTCGCCGACTTGCATATTTCGGGAATAGGTGAGATTGCACGGTCCTCAGTGCACGATCGTTCTCAGAGTAGAGAATGCCTCGTTTTACTGCTAGGTTGTGGCAGAGGTTTGCAGCAGTGCCTTTGGGCACTAAGGTTGACCTTTAGTACGGCTCTATCATCCTCACACTGACGGGCAGTCCCGAGCGTTTTACTATTCCAGATCCTTGAGGAATATGCTTCGGGTTGTGATCCTTGACTTTAATGACGTGGGAGAGACACCTACCATTGGTGGCGAGTTTTGCCTACAACATAGGCTTTCAGTCTAGTATCGGTTATAAGGCCCGTTTGAGGCCTTGTATGGCCGACCGCGTGTAGGTCTCCAGTGTGTTGCTGGCCGAGTGGCGTGGATGCACCTTTGTTGGTCCGGAGTTGGTTAGGAACGACGACGCCGAGCAGGAAAGCTTGGAGCCTTAATCCTAGGCAGGGCGCTTGTTTACAGCCCAGCAAGTCGCCCAAAAAAAAAGTTTTATTGCCCGGGGGGACCGTCAGGGAGGAGGGCCTTTTTGGTATTTTTTAGGTAGCGTGATCATTGCTCTTCCTTTGGAACAAAAAAATATCACTTAAGGCCGAAGGTTTGGATGAAGCGGTCTCGTGGAAGAGGTGGAAGTTTTATTCTTGTTTCCCCCTCGCTTATTGGTTTCCTTTTAATCCTGAGAGGGATTGCGCCGAGGTTGCTATTCGTTTTAGCGCCCTTGCCGCCGCAGTTGCTGGAGGCTGCAGTGACGTGTTTCATGTGAGTATGCCTTCGGATCTCGTATAGGTCCGAATAACATTCCGTCAGTTGTCACAGGTCCTATTTGGCATGGGGAAGCTGCCCGTGTCGGACAAATGGAGGTTCGGGGGCTATTTTGAATTTTTTCCCCCAAAACTATTACAACAGTATTGCTAAAAGGTTATAGAACCAACAAACGAAGGTTAGTTGCTTCCCTGTTGTTGGAGAATACAAACCTTGTGAAGAGGAGCACTATATGCAGTAGGAGGTGCCTGGCTCTAACTGTCAGCATGGAGGCAAACGCATGTTGATATTCTTGTAGCTTGTGGATACAACAAACCTTCTAGAGGCTGTGTTCTTGCAGGTGCAGTGCTTGGTGCTGTATTGTCATATATCTTAAATTATCACAATACAGAAGATCCAAAGATTGATTGGAAAGAGCTTCAAGGGCTTTAAGAGCTTACAAGAGATTTCTGGTATCTCACTCTGTCCCTTTATCTCTTTCTCTAAACTTTTCTTTCTTTTATATATTATTCCTACACTCATTTTTGTTTTCATAATTTTCCACACTGCTGGTTGTTTCCATGGCTCATTTTATCTGCCCACTTGCCTTGCATAATTTAACTGTGTCAAAAGACGGTAGAATTTGTATTTTATATTTTCATTTCCTGTGATTTGTTTGTATTAGTGAGGTGAATTATGCTTAGGTGACTTATTTGCCTATGGTTATGAATAGGGAGGAAAGATGCTCCAAAAACAGTTTTCTTAATCCTATGATAGCATGACCAAAGCTAAAAAAGCTTTTTACAGTGCACTAGCTATGCCTGTTTATCAAAATAATTTTTGTCAAATGAGAACTAACCTAGTTTCAACTAATATTCAGACATCTAAACCAGATGAATCTGAGATAAAAGATTTTTTCAACCCTGATATATTCAGAGAAATTTATACAGAACTCAATGAAGTTTGGAAAACTCACATTGTAAACAACAAAGTAAAATTCGAAAACACATAGGAGTCCTAGCCAACAAATTAGCTGAGCAAACAGCTAAATTAAAATATTTGCAAATTTTTTTTTTAATATCCTTAAACAAATAAATTAGAATGAAGATTTTAATTTTGAAAAAATAAATAATTTTCTTCAGCTATCAGACCTCATATCAGATGAGTTTTCTGATATAGTTTTTGAATAAATAAAAAGATTTGTCTTTTTGAAAAAGTAAGAACTTTGCTTCCAAAAGAAATTTTTCTGTTAATAAAAAATCGAGTTGAGGATCATCGTGATAAGATTAGACAAATCTTAGAACGATCTTACAATAAATTGAATTTTAAAGACGGATGTTGTTTGGGAGGAGATAGGGGATGGACTCCACTGATACAGCTCATATGCTTGTCAGATAATGTGTTGATACAGCTCATATGCTTGTCATTGGAAGTGTTGATATAGCTAATATGCATATCTGTTGAAATGTAGGTACAGCTTGTATGCTTACCTGTTGAGATGTTGATACAACTTGTATGTTTAACTATTGTGATAATGGGAAATGTTTAATATGAGTCACTGTCTCATATAAGTAGTTGGCCAGGTTCTGAGCCATTGATGTAAATTGTGAAATTGATAAGAAATGGAAACTGAAATGAAACATGAACGCAATGGTCATGAGATGGAAATGGGTTATGAATTGGTTTATGAAAATTGAACATTTATCAATTGCTAATGTTTTAGTTATTGCTCATACTGTGTTTAGCATATCTCTACTGGGCGTTGGCTCACCCTTTATGGGACATTATTTTCAGGTACAGGTAGTATGCCACCTCCAAGGACATAGCTTGGGAGGCTAGAGGCGGACAGACTTTTGTTGTCTTATTTCCTTTTGATGTATTACGTGTAAATCCAAGCCAAGGGCTTAATGCGTAATTGAGTTAGTACTCTTTTTTTGTAACCAAGTGTTAACTTGGAAAGCTGTAAGCCCGAAGGGCATTTGCTTTTGTTGTTAACATGTAATACTTTTGTAAAGAAATACTCTGATGAATTGAAAAATGTGGATCTTATATAGATAAATGCATGTTTATATTGATGGGTTTAATGTTATTATTTTGAGGGCGTTACAAATTCCATCGGCCAATTTGAGTACTTGGAGCCGCTATCCCTCGTTGACTGCAATTTCTTTGGTACCATTCCGACATCCCTTGCAAACCTCACGCGATTAATTTCACTTGATCTTTCATACAACAATTTTGAAGGCCCAATTCCTCAACTTTTTTCCAATTTCTCGCAACTTAAAGCTATATATTTCTCAAACAATCAACTAACAGGTCCCATTCCCTCTTCCTTGTTTCATCTGAACCTTACCTATCTTGATCTTTCGTCAAATAATTTAAGCAACACTGTTGAGCTGGACACGTATGCAAAGCTTGAATATTTGGATTCTTTGGATCTTTCAAACAGTAGTCTATCATTGACCACCACCAACTCCACTCCCTCCTCTTTCCGAAACATTACTACATTACAATTGTCATCTTGCAACATAAATGAAGACCTCAATCCACTCTGCAATCTTCATTATCTTATATATCTCAATCTGTCCAATAACCAATTCGGCGGATTAATCCCTACCTGTTTGGGGAACTTCAGTGGATATTTAATGGTGTTAAATTTGCAGAGTAACAATTTCAGTGGGACCATCCCTCAAACTTTTGGATATGCAAGCCGGTTGCAAGACCTTGACATTAGCAACAATGGATTGCAAGGGGTGCTTCCAAGATCATTGGCAAATTGCACGAAGCTAGAAATTTTGAATCTGGGTCATAATTTCATAGAAGATGCTTTTCCATTTTGGTTGGAGAACCTGCCCCAATTGAAGGTTATTGTCTTGCGAGATAATGAATTCCATGGTCCCATAGAGCAACCAAGGAAGAGATTAGCCTTCACCAATTTACATATCATTGACATGTCTCACAATGAATTTACAGGCACTTTGCCATCAAAATTCTTTGAGAGCATGCCTTCAATGATGGTGGATGATGAAGACAAATCCTCCTTAAATTATAGAAATTTTGAATCTGAGTCATAATTTCATAGAAGATGCTTTTCCATTTTGGTTGGAGAACCTGCCCCAATTGAAGGTTATTGTCTTGCAAGATAATAAATTCCATGGTCCCATAGAGCAACCAAGGAAGAGATTAGCCTTCACCAATTTACATATCATTGACATGTCTTACAATGAATTTACAGGCACTTTGCCATCAAAATTCTTTGAGAGCATGCCTTCAATGATGGTGGATGATGAAGACAAATCCTCCTTAAATTATATGCACAATGATTACGCTTATTATTCGGTAACCATAATGAATACAGGACTAGAAATGAAACTCGTACGGATCATCACCATCTTCAAAGCTGTTGATTTCTCACACAATAAGCTTGATGGAAATATTCCAATATCCATTGGAAGACTCAAAGCCCTCGTTGTCCTAAATTTTTCAGGAAATGGCTTCACAGGTTCGATTCCATTGTCCTTGGTGAATCTAACTGAGCTCGAGTCCTTGGATCTATCACAAAACAAGCTCTCTGGTAAAATACCTCAACAACTAACGAGCTTGACATTCTTTGAAGTTTTTGATGTCTCACAAAACAAGCTAACTGGGAAAATACCCCGAGGTCAACAGTTTGAAACATTTTCAAACACTTCGTATGAGGGAAATATTGGATTGTGTGGTTTGCCGTTGTCAAAGAAATGTGGGAGCCCTGAAGTAGCAGAATCACCATCTTTATCATCCTCTTCAAGCCACGATTTTAAATACAAACTTGATGGTTTTGAATGGGAAGAAGTGTTGATGGGATATGGTTGTGGAGTAGTAATTGGTTTGGTGATAGGAAGTTGCACCATTCGAAGGAAAGAAAAATGGCTTGAGAGAATTTTCAAAGTAAAAATGTGTCATCAGAAGAACAGATCAAATGAGGTTAGGTACCAACATGGAACAAGATGACATGTTTAGAACTAAGTGGATCCTGTTTGAAGTAAAGGTACTACCATGTTTTCATTACCATTAAAGCTCTTTGTTTTTAATTTGATTGTGAACCATGACGTCCCTTTTCATTTCCTACTTCTATGTTTCAAAGTTGACACTCATGACTGACTATTAGAATATATAGCCTCGTTTGGAAAGTTGGCTATGTTAGTAAGCTATTTAGTTTTCGGCTATTTTAGTAGGTTAAAATTTTTGTTTTTGGGAAAATGATTGTATTTTTTTGTAATTTGATGTAATGTTTATGAGAGAAAAAGTGAAATGATTATGGGTTTAATGTGACGTTTTGTCTTATTAGCTATTTTAACCTATTTTGTTTTTGTTTTTTTTTTGTTGTAAATTTTAGCCTAAAAAAAGCCAAAAATCCACTTCCCAAACAAGACGTAGTTAGTTATATGCATGTATGTAAGTAGAAAGATAGTAGATTACACGAAACCAAAAAAAAAAAACCTCTTGTGGATAATGGCATTCACGACTCTATAATTCCAATCGTCTAAAATAATAAATTTAGATCAAAGTTGAGGAGAAGAAAAAAAAATTGGTAAAATAATTCATGCTGACATTAGAAATAATGAACAACATGTTTTCAAAATGAATTTATTTACATGTTTTGGAGTCAAGTTAAACTTTCACAAATAGGTGTCCGTTTCTTCTTTGTTAATTTTAGTTTCTCTTTGCTTTATAAACATGTTCTCTTTTCAAATTTTTAAATTTTTTTAGAATAGAAGCACTTGAAAATAATTTTTTTTTTTTTTTTTAAAAAGAGCATCTAATACAAATTTTTTAAAGATTCACTAAAAATAAAATTTCAGAAAATGTGATTTTTTAGCATTTGCCAAACATGAAGATGCTACTTTATACATACCTCTAAAAGAGTGCATATGTACGTATGCATTTTATAGCATCACCGCAAAATTTTATAACATAAATCATAAAATAGCATAATTTTTTTTCCCCACAAAATGTTTTACTTTCATTTTAAGGCGCACATCTTAAGTTTGCCATATGTAAATTTATCACAAATTGACATTAACGTGTTACAAACATTTGCAATTTTCACAAAAATCATAACTTTTTGACTATTTGCCTTTTTAGAAGTGCATATTTATTTATTTATTTTACATTTTTACATATAAGCAATGTAACAGACCCAGTAGAAATTTTTTCGTCAAGATGGAAGTAGTTATCTATTTGCCTGAAATTTCATGTTGGGTGAGCACATAATCACATGATCTTCTTGACCCATGAGATAATTTCTGTTCAAAGATGGACTCTTTTGCACAATAATCCCTCAATTGACCGCCATGGGCCTCTAAGTCTTCAATTAAAGCTAGCCAAATATGGACTCTTTCGCACAATAATCCCTCAATTGACTGCCATGGGTGGGGATTGGATTGATAATTTCTGGTCAAAGATGGACTCTTTTGCACAATAATCCCTCAATTAACTGCCATGAGCCTCTTAAGTCTTCAATTAAAGCTAGCCACAAATATGAGCATCACAAGTCTTCCTTTAAGATAAGTTTGTTTACCAGTTTGGGTAGGGATTGGATTGCTAATTTATGGGTTTCACAAAAAAAATATACTCTGATTTGATTAAAAAAATGTGATGAGTTTGAGATTGTTTTTGGATTATAAATTTGAATAATGATTTGAAAAGAAAAAGGAAAAGGAAAAAGAAAAGGGAAAAGGTGACTGTAATATGAATGAAATATAGTTATATTTTACCTACTTTTTCTTTTTTTATTTTCAAATTTTTATCTTTTTTCATTTTCAAATTTTTACCTAAATTCATTATCCAAAGAGTTTTATGAGATTATAAATCTCTTTACAAGTGTGATATTTCTCATGCGGGGTTGGGACGTGCTAATCCTGTCCCATGAAATTTGAGGTGAAAAAATTATTTTACCCGCAGTAAAACAACAAAGCCATAATGTTTGTAAATGTATAAAAACTATATATAAATATATAGAAAGTATATATTTATACTATTTTAGGAGGCTGAAAAATGTATATGTTTTTTGCTTTGTTGGTATTTCAAAAATATCCTTCCAAACTTATTAAATATCACACAGCAACCTACATCTACTTAAAAACAAAACACATTTTGAAATTCAAACAACTTCAAATATTATAATATGATTATTTTTTTAATAATTCTATTTTTGTGAC